ATAATTGATTTATTTTTAAGTTTCACTTTTTCATTTTGATTTTGTTTTGGTTTTAATTTTAAGTTTAGAATGGTGTTGTTTTCGCGCAAAAAGGAAAACATAAGATTATTACTTATGGAATTTTTAATTGATTGTTTCTGCGTTAAGATTTGGCAATGTGGTGGTGGCATTCTGTTTGTTCCATGCTCTCATGTTGGTCACGTTTATCGTTCACATATGCCGTACGGTTTTGGTAAACTAAGTGGAAAACCGGTCATTTCTACTGTAAGTTTTCACAGTAGTTTGTGATTTTTTAGTTCTGTTCGCATGTCTTTGATTCGATTTGTGATATTCGATGGTGTTTTTTAAAGGTTCCATGTACAAATCATTGTTTAGAATTTGTTTTTGAATGGTAGAATCTGTTTAAATTTGATCAACTACATGCAATTTCACAGACGAGAATACAATTTGTGTTTTAGAATATGGTTCGTGTAATTAAAACATGGATGGATGATTACGACAAATACTATTATATACGTGAACCATCGGCAAAGCATCGCCAGCCAGGTGACATCAGCAAACAGTTGGAACTTAGACAGCGATTGCAGTGCAAACCGTTCAAATGGTTCGTTTATTTCGGGTATTCTCCCTGAAATGGACGATTTTGAGATTTGTTGCCTATTGCTGTGTAGTATTTAGAATAATATAGTATTTAACGTCATCACCCTCATGTTTTATCTTCAGGTATATGGATAAAATTGCCTACGATGTGCTTTATTCATATCCACTTCTGCCGGAGAATCAGGTTTGGGGTGAGGCGAAGAACTTACATTCGAGTGAGTGTTTTGATTGTATCGTTTTCGATGCGAAATCATTCTCGTCATCGTCAGTGTTTTTACGAATAGTTTCTGATCTGAAATGGATCATTTCGTGTATCTGATATGAAATTCGTTTTTGTTTTTAGGTAAATGCATTGATACAATGGGACGGCCGATACCAGGCATTGTCGGAGCAACACCTTGTCATGGCTATGGAGGCAATCAGGTATTGAGCATTGTGATTCGTCGAGCTTTCGCCTTAACTGGAGTAATTTGATCAATCTTACTGGAGTTGATCATGGTGTCGCCTTATCCCAATTAAAATATTATCAGTACATTTTGCTGATGTTTACCGTTTTATTTGGGTTTATTCGTTACATTATTTGAGAATATTTTATAAGCAATGAGGAAAAGATTTTCTGTGAATTCGGCTTGATGTGAGAAGATCTGTAGTGGATTGTTGAATAGCGTTTTAATGTTTCTCATTGACTTCATATGTGCAAAAATATTTAGTTTCAGTTGATACGACTGAATAAG